CGTACTCCTTTGGTACGCCCCGCGTACTAAGGTCTACCCCGAAACCCTAATTCATTCCGAAGGCCATAACTTCTTCGATACAACTCCGAATCTGACCATCCTTATATACATGAAAAGGTAACAAGAAGCTCTATGCTTTAAAAAAACTCATACATACCTTAAAATATCCCTAACGGACATCCAATATCCACAAAAACCCGAGCTCACAAATTACCAATATACCTTTGGCTCTAAAATAACTCTGAATACCCGAATCATCCACATACCATCACCCACACTCAAATGGGTAGCGATTCAGAATAGGGTGTTACATGTCATATTAGATTTTATTTTTTCTCTTGTTTCCACCTCCCATCCCACAACTCCAAGAAATTAATCCCTCCCAACCCAAACACATTACAACACCTTGAAATTGATCCCACCCAACCCAAGCACATTTTCATAGAAGCTTTCATGCATAAAGTATGTAACACTCCAAATTTTTCTTCAAAATTTTCAAAGCTATGGTTATAAAATCATTTCGGGTATTAACCCACATTTAATAAAACCGGTCCCACAAAAACATTAACAAATAAACTTTGGGTGTTACCATTAAGCATCATACAACCATAGCAAGCAAATACGAATTACATCAATAATATGAATAAGGAGATTCACAAGATCCACTCCATTTTATTTCTCTTAACTTATAACTTCTGTCTATCATCTTTTCTCCTTAAGTACAACCTACGATACATGACATTAAAAAGAGATACGTAAGACAATAATGTCTCGTGAGTTACACGAGTTTGTGACCCAAAAAATTTATTACATTTTCATCAAAAACATTTCATATTTGCAAAACATATTTCAAGTAGGCATTTCCACATTCCGTTCCATATCAAAAACATTTCATCTTTGTAAAACATATTTCAAATAGACATTTTTCCACATTCCATTTCATATCAAAACATTTCATTAGTTATAACATAATTCAAAAGCCATTTCTTTTCACATTTCATTCATTCTTTCATTAAGGGCTAATTTCGATGTGAACCGTTGTCATTTTTATACTTAGGGCCTAGCAATATCCCCAAGTCTATACCAAGGTGGAAAGAACAGATCAATACACCAATGCATCATTTCCGTTAGGACATCTATCACAAGAAGGGGAGGTGCCACCCCGACAGATTCCTCTATATCCCGTTACGGTGACATCATGACTCGAACAATATATTCATTTCATTACTTTCCGATTCTTTCCAATTGACTTCATTACTTTCCATTTCTTTTCAGTACTTTCCATTTCTTTTCATGTTTAACGTATTTCATACAGTAGCATCAAAAACTCATTTCAAAAGTAAAACATCTATATTTCAAAACATTTCAAACATATTTTCCAAACATTCGATCTTCCAAAATGTTCTTTGTTTTCAAAAACATTCTTACATTCAAAGCATTCTTTCAAAATATTCTTTCCAAAAATATTTTACACTTTCATTTCAAAACATTTCATATATCAAACATTAGTGTTTCTTTATCAAAAATTATTTTTCTATGTACCCCAAAGTTGGAAATAATGGTTGTCATGATTAAATCTGAAAAATAACAAAAAAAATAGTTTTAAATATAATTTACTATAACAAATTAAAAATAATATTAAATAAAAAATTATATATGATTTATTCAAGTTGCATGTATATATTATTAAGGTCATATAGGTCAAGATAAACATTAAATGGAAAACTACTATATCGCTTCAATCTAAAAAAAAATTAATAAATTTATTTGAAACCGTATCTATTCTAATAAATCAAGATTTGTTTGTCACATACCACTTTCTTATGAGGTTTGACAAATGTCATTTTATGGTATTTTCTGAATAAATAATATACAAATGACAATTTATGAGTTTTTTTTTTTCAATTTTCATAAATTAAAATGTAACATAATACTAATATTTATATATGTAAAGTATTAAATATAATAAATAGAAAAAATTGTCATCGATTGATGGGAATTTGAATTTATAAATCCATTTACTAATAAATAATAATAAGTTGTATTTTTTTGTTTTAGTTAAATGATAACATATTTGAGTTAATAAACTATAATTTAGATCCTTAAATGTTTTTTTTGAAACATGTTCAATTAGAAATTAGTTAGATGTATATATTAAATGTTCAATTATCTATTATTTATGTGATTTTTTTATCATTGGTAAAAAAACCTATCAGAGTTTTTAACTGTTATTTATTTAATTTTTTTAGTTTATCAATAGTTATGTTATTGTAATTATTTAAAATACTTGTTTTCTTTGAACATGGTTTTCTTTTTTGAAACTTACAGGGTAAATCAAATTATTTATATAGGAATATCATGTCAAGTTGAGTTTTTATAAAATTTATCGTTTTTAAAAAAGAAATTCTAAAATAACAACTCTTAATAATAAATATTATAAAACTACCGTTTTTTTTAAAAAATGTCGCAAACAATCGTAAAATTTTAATTTTTGTAAAACATAAAAGTGGACTCTATTTAGATTTTCGAGCTTTATATATATATATATATATATATATATATATATATATATATATATATATATATATATATATATATATATATATATATATATATATATATATATATATACACGCTAATAAATAATTTTTTTTGCCATATATTACACTCTTATTTATTTTGTTACATGTTATTTTATGGTTATTTTAAATTATCTTTCCGTATGACATTTTATATATTAATTAACCAGTATAGTATATGAGTCTCACACCTAGTATTTATTAATATTTAAACTCTATTAAGTTAATTCCATTTTAAACATATCTATGCTCTTCGGAAATAAAGTTCACTTCTAACATCTTTTGATATTGTAAACGTTTTCTATAATTCTAGGTTGTGTTTGGCTAATCTTATTTAAGGTGTTTATTAGCTTATTATCATTTCTATACCACTTTAAGCTAAAAAAATTGGATAAAAAATAACTTATGACGGTGAGAAATCACTAAAAAACCATTTTTTCATAAGTTACCTCACTCTAACCTATTAACTTATAAGTTAATAAGCTAATAAGCTATAAGCTAATAAACAATAATTTTTTTTGCCAAACACTCCGTTAACTAGTTATAAAACTTGTGTACTACACGAGTTTATATATATATAAAGGTCTGAACATTTAAGAAATTTGAATTTATAAGAAAAATAAGAAAAATGTTGAATAATTAAAATTGAATCGTTCATTTCTTTTTTTAAATTTAAACAAATAAACAAAATAATAATTGGGCTTAAATTTAAAAATTTTGAAAATAAAAGAAAAGTTGCATTAATGAGATTGATATACATCTATTATTATAATTATTATATTTAAATACTATATGTAATTTAGTAAAATGAAAAAAAAAACCATAAAAATTATATATAGAAAAAAAATTAATTTAAAATAGTGAAAATATGATGAAGGTATGATGTTGCGAAATAATAATAATAATAATAATAATAATAATAAATTATTAGAATAGATTTTGATACCCGGGATAATCATAAAAATTAACAAAAAAAAGGTGGAGTGATTTGATAAAATGACCGCCTTTTGGTATTTATCACAAATAACCATAAATTTCTCAATCAACTTATGAATTAATAAATTACATTTTTAAAGGTATCCGATATAAAAGATCCTTCAGAAATTTCAATTTTCTTGAAAAAAGAAATATTACGAAATACACTTATATATTGTATAGCTAAATATATTCATAAACTATGATATTTTTCTTCAATATCTTTTTAGACATTTTGATGTCCAAAAAAAAAAAAAAAAGCGAAAACAATTTTCACAATTTGTTGTGGGACCCATTGCAATATTGTTGGTTGTTACGTATAAATACAAAGTTATGGTCAATTTGTTAAATAATTCTACCTCTCTAAATCATTTTTGTGACGTAAAAAAAAGAAAAAAAAAACTATATGCTTTCATCTAGAGCGACATATATTCATTAAAAAAAAAATCATGAAAATAACTCCTTAAACATCATTAAAAATATATACACAGCCAAAGTTCGGGATGGATTTGTTATTTGTAAAATGTGAATCAATCTATAAGCATAATGTAAATTATTCATAATAACAACTTAAGTTTATATGATGAATGATAGATAGTTAGATACCTTTTGCTCACCTTAGATGAATTCTTAAACTTTCTTACATAATCTACTTTAGTAAATAAAGATTTTTTTGTCACATGTCATATTCTCATTCATTTTGTCACATGTAATTTTGTGGTAACTTAAAATTAAATTTTATTCCACATGTCATTTTATGGTTTTCCATTTTATTAAATTTCACATAATATTAAATGTACTAATAAATGCATATCAATTTCATTAATGAACTTTCCTTTTAATTTCAAAATTACAAAGTTAAAGTTTTATTAATTTCTTTTATTTACTTATCTAAATTATTTGTTTAAATTTAAAAGAAAAAAAAAACACTTTAGTTTTTATAATTCAATATTTTTTCACTTTTCTTATAAATTCAAACTTCTTAAATATTTAGAATTTTATATTTAATTTTAATTTAAATAAACCCATTTAATACATGAGTGTCAGACCTAGTAAATAAATAAATCGAACAACCACCACAAAAGCATGCCATCTGGATTGTTCTTGTGTAACCTATGTCTAATGTCTTTGTCTTTGTCCTTTTTATTTCTTTATATCGTTTAGTTGAAGCTCAAGACTTGTCCCTTTCTGAATGCATGTAACATGATTGTTCACGAAAGATATGAAATTGAAACAAGAAAGAAAGCATCCATAATGATGTCCTAAACCAATGAAACGCATGATAAAACCACATAAAATCACAAGAACAAATTTTCATATATTAAATGGAAAATTATACGAATAGATTGATTCCGTATAAGTGTTGATACATACGCCTCTTATACGCCAATACCTTTGTCATTTTGTATTTATTCTGCCACTCCACTCTATTTATACCACCCATAAATCGATAAACCCTTCTGCTTCACACCCATTTCCCATAACACCAAAAGCTTCAAAAATGGCGAAATCTCCAGAGACAGAGCATCCAATCAAGGCCTATGGATATGCTGCAAGAGACACTTCCGGAGTTCTTTCCCCTCTCACCTTCTCCCGAAGGTATATGCATGCATGTTTTGTCTACACAATATTCATCCATCAATTTGCTAACAATGTAGGATTATTGTTCTACATGAGCCGATCTGTGGTTTTTATTGTGATTTTGTTGATCATGATTCACAGGGTTACAGGCGATAAGGACGTAAGGCTCAAAATTTTGTATTGCGGAATCTGCCATTCTGATCTTCACTTTGCCAAAAACGAATGGGGCTTGACGAGTTATCCCGTTGTTCCCGGGTATGCTTTATTCCATTTCTCTCGATTTGATTTTCCACTAAAATTTCGTAAAAACCTATTCGTTAATTTCTTCAACATCGATCTTCTACTTTCTTCTACTGACCTTGCAAGAATTTTAATCTTCATGTCGATGAATGCAGACACGAGATTGTGGGTGTTGTGACAGAAGTAGGAAGCAAAGTCGAGAAATTCAAAGTCGGCGACAATGCCGGAGTCGGATGCTTGGTGGGATCATGCGGATCTTGCGATAACTGTGCTAATGATCTCGAAAGCTACTGCCCAAAACAGATTCTCACTTACGCCTCCCCTTACCACGATGGCACAAAGACATACGGTGGGTACTCCGATCACATAGTTGCAGATGAGAGCTTCGTCCTCCGGTGGCCGGAAAACTTGCCGCTTGATACAGGTGCACCACTGCTATGTGCCGGAATCACCACTTACAGTCCTCTCAGATACTTCGGACTCGATAAACCAGGGATGAAAGTTGGTGTTGTTGGTCTTGGTGGACTTGGTCATGTCGCTGTGAAGATGGCGAAAGCTTTTGGTGCAGAAGTTACTGTTTTCAGCACCACTCCTGCGAAAGAGCAAGAAGCACTTGAAGGACTTAAAGCTGATCGTTTTATATTCAGCAAAGATCAAGACCAGATGCGGGTAGTTTGTCAAGATTTGTTATCTTTTTTGACTTGTTTATCAAGATTTTGATTACATAAATTGATCTTTTTCTTTTTTCTTTTTTTGAATCAGTCTGCAATGAGTTCGTTGGATGGGATCATTGACACGGTTTCTGCAACTCACCCTATTGCTCCATTGTTAAGTGTGCTGAAATCACATGGGAAGCTTGTTCTTGTGGGTGCACCAGAGAAGCCACTTGAGCTTATTCCCTTTTCTTTAATTTCAGGTAAGTAATTAGTGTATGAAAGTTTGTAGTGTTTGATATGATAATGTTATATAAAGGTGATTGATTGACGATGACATGCAGGGAGGAAAATTGTTGGTGGGAGTGCGATTGGAGGGTTGAAAGAGACTCAAGAAATGCTTGATTTTGCAGCGAAGCATGGTGTGACTGCTGATATAGAGCTCATTCCGATGGATTATGTGAACACTGCAATGGATCGTATGTTGAAATCTGATGTTAGATATAGGTTTGTGATTGATGTGGAAAAGTCGCTCAAAGCCCCATAGATTTGATGTTGTGTTGATGGTTTTGGTAGAATGGGTTTGGATTTTGATTGATGGTATTCTGAAACAAATCAAACAATTATTAATCAATTTATATTTAATAAACATTTGCTTGTGAAGTTAATTTGGTTCGGTTTAGTGGGAAATTGAATTGAAACTATTTATATTGCATAAGTCTTTATTCTGTATTGGTCCGAATCCTGTAGAATATAGAGTAGGTTTATTTTTCAACTTCTCTAGAAAGTAAAAAAGAAAATCTAAGAATAAGTTATGTGGTGTGATTTGACATGTTGAAATCGAAGAATGTGCATAGCTGCAGAGTAAAAAAGATTGGAGTACGACATTTATGAAGTGGTTTGCAACCACCAACTGCAAACAACCTTATTGAGGATGGGTTAAATCTTAAATGAGTTGGTTCTTGTTACCAATAAAATTGCAAGGGCGGTGAATTTACTCCATGTGCTACCTCACTTGAATGATACCAACCTTTGCCAGCAATGTGAAGAACCATAATAAAGATTTATTCCATTAAACATAGATATTTGCTAAAAAAACAATCGACAGGTATTATTGTGGATGCCTATTAAACATAGATACTTTGGTCATGTATTTAAATTGATATTTATAAGTATTTTTAGAAGTATATAACATCACTAGTTTATAACCGGTAAAAATCATCGTTATAAAATTTATTAAACTTTTATAATAAAAATTTATAATTATTAATCAATTATTTTAAATAAGTCATTTTAAATAAATTATTAATTAAGATATATCAAAAATTTAAAGTTATTATAACTTCAAATTTAATATATAATTTGAAAATGTAAATTTGAATTTTGAAATGAGTTGCCATATATATCTAATGACACATGACATAATATTAATAAGGAGTTGTATTAGAGTGACACTCGACAAAAGGAGATTGAAACTATTCATTTATTAGAATAGGGATTGGACTTTTTATTTATTATTATTATTTTTTTAAATCTTACGGTTTGATAAAGCCACTTTTCAATCCATCATGTGACATCATTTTCTTCATCAGTCCTTCACAACAACTTTTTCCAAAGAAATACACATTAATATTGTGTGTGTGTGCGTGAGAGAGAGAGAGAGAGAGAGAGAGAGAGAGAGAGAGAGAGAAATGTTGCGTCATTGCAGAGCTTGTCGTGCTATCGTATAAATACTCGAAATGTTGGTCAAGCCATGCTTCCTCAGCTCGGTGAGATAAGAGGAGCAATACGTTCCTTTTTTAGTGTCCAGTTTCTCCCCAATAGAAATAATATTGCTTATTTTGGCCCTTTCTTAATTTCTTGGGTTTATGTTGTGTTTTCCTTAACTGAATTGTATGTCTCTTAGAGTACATAATCTCTTTGATCTTCAATGCTTGAACAAGCTTGAAATAGGTTCTACTGTTCTAAATGAATATATGTTTTACTTGAAGAAATGTCTGAAATGCTTCATAATTCTCCAAGGCCTTCTGCTAGTCAAGGGTCATTATTCCGGTATGATGTGAGACACATCAACATTATCACAATAATGCTTCCACAAAGCATGATGATCAGTCTGACTGGTTTGCAGAGGTTGTTCTTGAATTAGACATTTTAGTATATATAATTTATGTTTATCATTGAGGAAAAATCTCAAGGCATCATACAAGTAATAGAGATTATAACCATCAAATGTTACTATCTCTTGAAACTCAACAAGAGAGATTGTACAGGGCCATAAGAGTATTAAAAGTCATATACATAATGTAACAAAATTTCATTTAGTATTTTCAATATTAAGTCTTTAAAAAATAATACATTTTATTATTTCTAAAACATTAATTTATTAAAATGTAGGATCCAAGTTACGAAACAAGTAAATGGTTAGGTGACATTTTATTTCATCCACTTAATCCAATTCGGTGGGTAGAAATTACAAATTCCATCAAAATGTAATTCCTAAAAAAATGGGATCTTAAACAACTATTGTTTAACTTGGCATGTTTGATCTCATCCATGCCTCGTGCCTCTCATGCTTAAGTGACATTTATCATACAAGATTCTTGATTAAGTTTTCATACTTGAAAAACTTGTAGCATTGTAACTAACTAGTGACTAGGTAACCCATCGGGCAGTAGAAAGTACAAAATCACCTTGAACACCATAAGACAAAATACAAGTGACCAAGTGACCCTGTGCCACCAAGACCGTACAAACGACGCGCGAGTGTTCTTCAAAAGGACGACATTCACTTGTATTTTTAAGAAAATGTTTTATATATGTTTTTACTAATATAGTTATAAAAAAATGGTTTCATGAATATTGCATGCATCCAATAATTCTTTAGGTTCAAAATAAAACTTTATTTTATTAACCGTTAGCCGCGATCAATTATAAACAAATATTTTATATTTAAAGTTTAGTCGTAGAACGTTTTAAGAACCGGTCATAGTCTTTTAATAACACTTCATGTTATAGTTAAGACTTGAAGTTTTGTATGAGTTTAAAATCACAATTTTAAATCTCCTTTTAATAATAAAAAACTTATGACCTTATGAACTTGTAGAATAAAACTCATTTTATTTATAAAATCATTTTATACATCTTATGCTAAAAAACCATATTTTGATAAAAAAAAAAACCAAAATAATGTGATGGTAATTATGTTTTAAATTTTATTTACCATGCATAAAACATAATATTAACATGTTGAGTTAAATTTTAAAAAATAATATCATATATAAAGTTTTGACAAAAACATAATACATAGTATTATAGTTTGACGTTATAACGTTATAAACTGATTTTTAGTCCTTTTAATAAAACTCTTATTTATCATAAAAGACATAGAGTTTAGATTTAGTTTAAACACATTCTAAACCATTTTAAATATTTTAAAGTTGACTATTAAAAGTTTTACAATAAAAACTAGTTTTAATAACAATAATAAAAAAAAACAACTTAATTTTAAATGTTTTAAAACGCTTTAATAAAAACACATTTATAAACATCTTATGTTATATTTTAAATATTTATTTCCCAAACTCCAAACGATGTTAACTTATGATAAAATGTTATTTAACATGTAAACATCTTTTTGGTACATAAAACATAACATATAACAATATAAAATTAAACATCACAAACATGCATTAAAAGTGTATAAACCAATCCATTTTCTAGTAATATATAGTTTTTGTGAGCCAATATATAATAACTATTAAGTCATTCCTAAAGAAATTAAAGGACACTTCAAAAGATCTTCAAGCTTCCACTTACCAAGCTAACTCTTGCTTGCAAAAAGAACTTCAAGGTACCATGTGTTATGGAGGCTGTGACACTTAAACCATTAAGATTACAATTAAGCCTAACCCAAGAGTAGAAGCTCAAGTTTGGGATTATAGTCTCAAGTGGTTAAGTCATCTTCAAATGTGGTCATTTCTTCAATCGTTACATTTGGTAAAAAAAAAGAATAAAACTAGTCTAACTGATTTATTACATAAAATTTAAACAAATGAAAAAAAATACATATTTATCTATTACATCTCATGGGTGAATAAATATTCAACGAACACAAGACAATGGCCCTAATGACTAGTTATACACAACAACATCATATGAAATATACAAACAAACTGTAACGCCCCGTTCCTGGTATGCATTTAAAACATTATTTTTCTTCTTATTTTAGAAGCTACTCGACGAGTCAGTGGCTCTAACTCGTCGAGTAGCAGCGGGTCAGCACGTGGAGTTGGCATGGCGAATCGACGAGTCCATATTCCGGACTCGGCGAGTCCGCCAGTCTGGATGAAGCCCTAATTTTCAGGGAGTGTACCCTATTTAAACACCATTATAGCCCCAAACCAACCTCATTCACCTCTCAGAGACTTATTCCTGAAACCCTAGCCTCCTTGAAGTGTGTGTGAGTGATCTTTGCCCTTGTGAAGGAATCTTGGTGCATTGTTGAGCAAGAAGAAGAAGGAGAAGGTAGAAGAACTCAAGGAAGAAGAAGTAGATCCATATTATACTCCTCTTTGGCCATCCTTTCTGGTAATAAAGCTTTCATCTTGGTTATTGTATTGCTAGATCTAGTTTGTCCCCAAATTGATGGTTTTGAGCTCAAAAACCCCAAATCCCTAGTGATGAAGCTTTGTAATCAAGCCATATCTCGGATCTAGCCTCTCTTGAGTTCCAGGAGCTCAAGAAGGCCACCTTTTGGCAGCCATGGCTTTGTTCTAGACAAGTAACCCCCAAAATAGCCAAGTTTGAGTGTTATTGCTTCATTGCATCATAGATACACGTAAAGTTAGCAACTTTACGTGTTCAGATAGTCCCAGAAACCCAGATCTATGAATTGGATGCACTAAAACTGATTAGAATCGACTGAATAGAAACTACATGCAAAGGACTCGGCGAGTCGTTCTTCTGACTCGGCGAGTCAGGTCGCGAGTCTTAGATTCCCTGTTCAGTAGTAGCGAGTCTGTTTAGTGAGTGGAGTAAAGACTCAGTGAGTTAAGACATGGATCTGAGTGTAGAGGGACTCGACGAGTCTACGCCCTGACTCGGCGAGTCCAAGGCAATCTCCTTACCTGTAAGAACAGACTCGACGAGTTGTTAATACAACTCGGCGAGTCACAGACTGGACGTGTTCTTATGTTGAAGGTGAACTCGACGAGTTGATCATACAACTCGGCGATTCGGATGAAGGTTGGCAGGATATCAGTAAAGGAGGAGAACTCGTCGAGTTTTGGTTATCCTCGATGAGTAGATTCGGGAAGGGGAGTAGAAAGAAAGATAGGGACTCGACGAGTTGGCGGCCCAACTCGGCGAGTCAGGTCAACGGATTGTTGACTTTGACCAGGGGTAAAATAGTCATTTTACCCTAAGATTAGTTATCAGTGTCTGATTAAGTGTCTTTTGGGAATTGTCTACGGCCACAATGACGGCCCGTTTAGTTAGCAGTAGTTCCGGACTACGGTCCGATGCAGTAGTTCAATATGCTTGGTGTCTTGGTGATACAGGCATGGTATGTGTTATGTGTTCCAGACTATGGTCTGATGCAGTATGCAGTATATGTGTTCATATTATATGCTATGATTATGTTATGCTATGTTCAGTCAGTTCCGGACTTCGGTCCGATGCAGTGGGCAAGGCCCTAGTCAGTTCCAGACTTCGGTCCGATGCAATTCCGGACTTCGGTCTGATGCAGTGGGCAAGGCCCTAGTCAGTTCCGGACTTCGGTCCGATGCAGTTCCGGACTTCGGTCCGATACAGTGGGCAAGTCCCAGTATGTGCTTTATATGTTATTGTATGGTATGTGGTAGTTTGGGGGAGCTCACTAAGCTTCGTGCTTACAGTTTCAGTTTTGGTTTCAGGTACTTCAGCTAGCAAAGGGAAGGGCTCGGGATGATGGCATGGCACATACCACAGTTTAGCCTGGGAGTTAGACTCTGATATTTTGATATGATCTTGACACTAGTTTCGATTTGATAAATTTATTATGGCATTTTGAGATGCACGATTCATGGATTTTATCTTTTAATATTTGATATTATGGTTTAGTAAAGTTTTCAAACAAAATTTTTTGGGTTGTATTTTTGGGATGTTACACAAACACTTTGTATTTCTAAGGCTACTTTATACAACCAAATGCATGAAAAAATTGGTTGCATAAAAATAAAAATTATAAAAACAAGAAGTTGCCATAAAAACATATTTGGTGATTTCTTTGCCAAAAGAAATACCAAATATATTTTCCAAAACCAAACGTTATCAAACATTAATATTAATCTTTCTAACATGTAAAGATTCTCTTATACCACAGATGAGTTTTTGGGAAGCTAAGAACGATTTTTTTTATAAAACAATTTATAAATGGCAAACAAAAGACTTTAAAAATAACTAGTTTATTTTTAGACAATTTTAACAAATCCACCAAGAGTATCCAGTTACATGAACTAGAAATCTTATGATAACATTAGGATGTAAATAATACAATCTTTAAAGACTTTGATCTCATTTGGTTTTGGGGAGTTTATGAAGATGGCAAAAACTCAAGAATAGATTTTCTCTATAATGTATCCACCAACAAGTATATGTCACCAAGAGTTCTAGTTCTCATCTTATATGAAGTACTTCTTAAGCCTTTAAGTACTTATCACAATTAAGCACTAAAGGAGAAGCATTTCTAAGCACCATTTCATCACTTCCCTTTAAAATATAGCAAGAGAAGGGGAGGGAGAAGAAGCTACAACTTATAGTAAGGAAGAGAGAAAAAGAATCAAAAACTAACTTCAAAGGGAAGCCTTCGGTCTCTTTAAACAATCACACACAAGTACTAAGTGACATACTTTTACACAAGTCAAATATAAGGTGTTTAGAAGGTATGGTGTGTGTAAGAGGGAAGTTTGCAAGCAAGCTTCACCTCTCACCCAAAATTTCATCTATAAGGACAAGAGTGTGACCATTTGGAGTGTCTTACACATCTACTTATTTAATACATGTACAAAGTATAACTAGTTTATTTAAAGAAATCTAAAGAGTCCAACACTTTGTACAGGACATATTAAATCATACCATATGATATAATAGTTAATAACTTCCTTAGAAAATATTATTTTCGTAAAATAATAATTATTCTCTAATTAAATACAAGTTTTGAATATATTTGTTTATAATCAAATTACTAATAAACATTCAATAAGTGACAACTTGCTAAAGGTGTGACTCTATATGATCATATGTTATTGAAAAACATCATTCTAAAATGATTCTTGAGCATATAGATCCAACAATATTAACTTGGAGTATAGTAACCTCGACCATATTGTCTGACTACTTCAACAATCATCTTAAAAGCATTATTATCAATCGAATGAAAAGGAACACCTAATTCGTATGGTTTACTTCATCATTAATACATAATTCCTCAATGATCTGTCTCATCTAGTGCATATCCAAGAATAATAGGGATGATGTGTGTGTGTGTGAGATAGAGAGAAAAAAGTGTGTATGTGTGTGTGTTTGTGCGTGTGTGAAAAAGAAGGATGTAGGGGTCGGGTGACTTTTTTTTTATTTTTAATAAAAAAATAAAAAAATTAAGAAATTAAACAAGAATTATTTAAAAGGTGTATTAGATTTTAGGTTGAACTAGTAAATGAGTATGTGTTTTGTCGTGCGTTTTTATGTGTTTTTGTTATGTATAAAGAGTGAGAATTGATTAAACCAGTGACATTTTACAAAGTTTAAAGTTAAGGGGTCAAAGTAATATTTAAAAAATAGAGGGGTGAGAAATGTATTTTTCAAAATAAAGAAGTATATATATATATATATATATATATATATATATATATATATATATATATGTAGTTATATAGTTAAGTTCATGTGAAAACTATTTTTAAAGTGAGAACATGAGGACAAATCTCAGCCAATCAATATATATATATATATATATATATATATATATATATATATATATATATATATATATAATTAAATAAAAAAATTATATTATTTTACATTAATAATGACAATTTTGGATTGTTTAATCAAATTTAATGATTATTTCAAGGTAACCTCCTATAATTAAGGTACGTTTTATATTATTTCTAACAAACATTTATGAATTCGTCAATCGTCAATGGTGTGTACCAGGTATCGTATTGAAAAAAAATCCAAGTTTCTAATATCAATATTAACAAACCATACTGAATCGAATATTCAATTTAAGTTGTACTCAAAGTTGTCCATAAGAATCCATTAATGGATTTGTCATTCGCCAATGAGTTTGATGATATAAACGAGATCAATGAAGTTGAAACTGCATCAGTCGATGATGAATTCTTGTCAAGTGAGGATGATTTTTGTTCGACTGATGATGATAATCCCGCATTCGAAAAAGTCGACATGATGGATCACCATAATGAATGGGAGTTCACATTTCTTGAAAATATTCATGAAACAATTCAACTCCCTGGTATGTTATTTTGTATATTTAATTTTGTTAAAAAGGTGTCAATTACAACACACAATTTTGCATATTGTTGTAATACTATCAAAAAATTTAGATTTCAGAATCATATACTTTATTGAAAATTTATATTTCAGTTTATTTGATTTTTTGATTTGTGATTTGTATTCTGTTATTAACTTGTCCCTTCTTAGATGTTACAGACATTGAATCATGTAAAGAGATCTTGATCAACAATTGGTAATAGCCGGTAAATCTTATTAGATTCCTACTGTCCCTGGTGATCTTAAGCCAATAATAGACCATAAAAACCCATCTGATGATGCAATTGAAGACATGTACAGAAAATATGCATGTGCAATAGGTTTTGATGTTAGAAAGTCAACAAACAAAAAGAAGTGTGGAATTGTGTACATGAAATATCTTCTTTGTAACAGGGAAGGTTTCCCAAATACATCTCATGTTGATACTTTGGACCCAAAAATAAGTAAAATTAAAATAAGGGTCGACACTAGTAGGACTGGATGCAACGCGCGTATACAATTTAAAGTTTTTCCTGGAACTACTAAATGGTGGTTATATGAATTTGAAGAAAAACACAATCATCCACTTATATCAAGAGACAATATGTTGTTTTCACGTCATCATAGGCAGTTGGATGGAACTCAAAAATCTTTCATTCTTACAATGTCTAATCAAAATATTGGTGCAACCATAGCTCACAGGTTGTATACAAGTATTCTTGGTGGATACAATTTTGTAGGCGGTCTAATTGATTGGTGGATACATGAGGGATCTCAATTGCTTTATAGGTGGTAGTGATGATCAAATGCTAGTGGACAAGCTGAATAACAGAAAAGAGAATGTTAAGAATTTTTCTTTTGAGTATCGAGTTGAGAATAAGCAGTTGAATGCTCTTTTCTGGGCAGATGAAACATACAAGATCAATTATAAAGAGTTTGGTGATGTAGTTTCTTTCGATGCTACTTTGCGAGCTACTTTTCGAACTAACAGGTTGTAAATGTTTGTAGTTTAATATTTTTTATTTATTAATAATACATATATTAATTCAAATACTTTTACAGGTACCATATGGTTTTTGTCCCTTTTTACTAGAATTGATAATCACAAGAGGTGTGTCACTTTTGGTGTTGGCTTGTTGAGTAGAGAAGACATTGGTTCCTATATATGGTTGTTGAAATCTTTTCTTAAAGCTTTTGGCAAACAACCATTGTTGGTTTTATCCGACCAAGACCCTGCAATGAAGAAAGCCATCGAATCTGTTTTCCCACAATCGATTCATAGGCTTTGCATGTGGCATATCACATCTAAATTGCCATTGAAGGTATTTATTCTTGTCAACGTTTACTGATAAATACAATAAATTTACCAATTAAACAATCATTTTTTAGTGTATTCAAAACAGAATTTACAAATTACATAATTGATTACAGTTACAAATTCCCAGGTTTCTTTGAACATTGTCAACAATCCAGAATTTCGTAAAAAGTTCAACTTCTTGATATGGAATTCGAGGCTTGAAGTTAATGAATTTGAGGTAGGGTGGAAGTCCTAATTAAATGAATATAAGCTCACATATAATAAATGGTTGGATGATATGCATGGATTGAGACATTTCTGGAACCTGCATTCTTCAAGCATGTACCTTTATCAGGATTAATGAGAACCACATCTTGTTCTGAAAGTGAGAATTCTGCATTTCACCAAAACACTCATTATGGTTCTCCTACATTAAACATTCATACACGCATCTATATTTATTCAATTTTGATTTTCCAATATCAAAGCATGGGCCTAAGAGGAATACCATGCACTCCTTCACCTATTATATGTTGAAGTTTTATGCATAACTGCGCATATTCCTAAATGAATACACATTCATTAAAGCATAAAAAACACTCAACAACTTTAATATTACCATACTCAACACAAAATTTTAACTCCTACCTCAAACATTCATACACGCATCTATACTGATTCAATTTTTGTTTTCCAATATCAAAGTATGGGCCTAAGAGGAATACAATTTTGAATATTAATCATAGAACATAATTTATTAATTTCAACCAACTTAGATTTACCATATAACATTTAATCATTTACGTATTCCATTTTTCCCAGTTCAATCATACTAATGTTTTCCATATACCCACAGATGAATCAAACTTCCCTAATTCATAACAAATCTCAACAATTTCACTGTTAACATGCTCAACTGTTTACATCCTTCATAATCTATTGCATAATTTGTTTACATCCTTCCTAATCATCACCAAATACGTTAATCAAGAACTGTATCACATACTCTTAATTCACATTATAATATGCGTGCATTCGAAACGGAATATTGACTCATATAATACACATTCATACGCACAAAAACTTTCACAGTCAAGACCCTATCACTTAACAGAAAAAAATTGAAAACACAAACCTAATTTTATAAAACAATGACATTCAGTACCAAATACTTGTTACTCACGAACTTCGATTTTACCGACAAACAACAAACAAACCCTAATTTAAAACAAAACCCTCAACGAAAAACCCTAATTGCAAACGTTCATAAAAAAGCATCTTTATGTTACCTGATTCAATGTACAAGACGTCGACTTCATCAAGATCGATAGCATTATCAGCAGTATTAGTAAACTTTGATTGAAAACTCGATTCCATCATTCTTGGACTCCTTCTCAAGCTCTGTGATCTCGTCCACCTCATCTCGATTCAAATTTATAACATAAAACGATTAACCAAATCTTCTGGAACTTTTGTTGAAGATTTTGTCAAGATCTTTTGACCCAAATGGAAACGATTTGGGTAGATTTTTCCGCGAGGGTTTATCGGGAGCTGTTTCTAATTTCATACGATTACCTTTTTTATGATTAGTGGATGTTACATACTGCTCATTAAAGACGTATACATCACTGTTGAATTTTATCCCATTCAAAAATCACGATAGAATACATACAAATCACTATTGATTAATCTTGACCCTTAAATACAACAAATCTAATGGCTGAAATTTGTCCTCATGTTCTCAATTAAAAATATGTTCTCAATTAAATATATATATATATATATATATATATATATATATATATATATATAGTACGGGGACGGGGATAAACATGATAATCTAGAAAACAAATGGGTAAAAGTGATAAAAGTTGAAGTTTGAGGTGTTAAAGTAGTTTTTTAAAAAGTAAATGATGAAAAATATTATTTTATAAAATAAAAGGTTACAATATATATATATATATATATATATATATATATATATATATATATATATATATATATATAGTACGGGGACGGGGATAAACATGATAATCTAGAAAACAAATGGGTAAAAGTGATAAAAGTTAAAGTTTGAGGTGTTAAAGTAGTTTTTTAAAAAGTAAATGATGAAAAATATTATTTTATAAAATAAAAGGTTACAAATGATGGATTATACAAAGTTAAAGGATTACAATTACATCATTGACAGTTTTGTACATTGACATTACCATTTACCACCTGTATTCTTAGCTAAGTGTTTTTGTCTCACAAACCAAAAGTTACATTTAATATATATTTATATTGTAGGTCGAATGTTAAGTAGGGACCAAAACAATAAATTATATCAATTTTAGAACATTATGCAAATTAACAAAAATCATAACAATAATAATAAAATAATAAGAATAATAATAATAATAAAGACTAAACCCCCGCCCCCGCCCCCGCCCCCAATTCCCAAATCTGATTTAATTTATGTTTTTTTGTGAGAGACCCATCCCTCACATCCCCTCGTTCTCAAAACACACACAAAAAACACACAAAAAAAAAAAAAAAAAAAAAAAAAAGAAATTGATGAGCGACGTCTACGCAAACAACCAAAACGAATAAATGCTAGGTGTTAAATGTACTCAACAACATTACGTTAGATTTATGGGCATAAATGTAAATGGGCTTTTCATCTTTGGGCTCAATTCAAATGGTCTTGTATTATTCAGGTGGCCAAACCACAACCGATTACTTCGTACCTGATTAACCCGCTAACCCAAAAAACCGTCTTTAATATGGTTCAGTTTTCAGACGATTTGGGAAACCAACAGAAACCGATTAACCCGAAAAACCGCCCAATCACCCCAGCCCCGTGGAACCCTACTAGGGGCACCACTCTAGAATCTCATTCTAGTGAGATCAAATTATTTTATACGAACTCCGCACCTCCCGAACTCATAATATAGGCATAAATTGAGCTTAGTTTATTTCAAGTTAATCCTGATTATACTAAACCACATGATGACATTAAAATCTCCTACAATTAGGAAAAAAAAAACATACTAAACTTGCAAGCAAACCCATGGTCAACCCTGCAATGGATTAAAGACATTAGCTACCTTTTTTCTTAATCGTTAACTATATTGGATAACATAAATTGTCTATTTAGGAGAAAAGAATAAGATATTGGTCTCACTTGATAGAAAATTATAGTTGAACTCAATATATTTTGGTTTACGGTTCTCATAAACAATAAGTTAATGCATTTTACTTCTTTTGTTAATTAGTCAAATAAAACGAAAGTTTGTTATAGTTTATGGTCACTACTTTGACTAAATGAAGAGGAAAATATAGTCTTGAGTCTTGAGTCTTGAGTGTTGAACTTCGAGATCAAACCTATTCATTTTCAAAATTTTACCAAGATCATGCTACATTTTGACTCTGATATCTCTTGGCCTTGTTTTATTTTTGGGTTAAAACAAAAGAAATAGTGATATAGCGTTATTTATACATCTCTTTGAGTCCATTATCTTAATATTACAAATAAATTTGTATAAATTTGTGGTTGAGAAGGATAAGGAAGAAATTAGAGCTGAATGGAGATGATAAGAATATCCATAAATATGACTCCTCATCACCTAGCAGATATGATATGATATGTTCAACCCACGACCTGATCAACAAATAAGTTGATTTTCTAAAGAATTAAAGCAGATTGAAGCCGATGAACACGATCGACGCAAGTGTTTGAAGATCAAAGCGTGGAACTACTATTTAATCATTTGGTTTGCACTATGTATTCCAATATGATTTTGGTTTGCGTTCTAGTCGCAATTAAGGGCTAAAAACCATCTACTTATGCCTAGATAAATGAACCCCTAAATAATTATGTGTTGACTTATTTAGTTTGGATTTATTGATTAATAATTTATTATGTTTGTTTGATCGTAAATC